AAAGCACAATATACAAAAAAATAAAAATAAATAAATAAGATAAAATGTGCTTAATTATATACATCGCACAAATTAAATTGATTTATTTATATTTTTTATTTTTTGTCTATCTTATTGATGTCTTAATATTAATTTATATTTAATTTAGATTTTATATACCCATATACAATATGTATGTATAATTCAAAAAAATATTAAAGAAAAAATCAATATTCCACATAATTAATTAATGTATTTTCTTTTTAATCCAATTATTTATATTTAATTTAAATTTTATATACCTATAAACAATATGTATGAATAATTCAAAAAGAATATTAAAGAAAAAATCAATACTCTACCTAATCAATTTATGTATTTTCTTCTTAATCCAATCACAACATATTTACATTTAATGTTTTAAATAATTTTTGTGTAGTTCTATTTCTACATATTTTTATTTTCCAAATAATGTAAAAATAACTAAGTAATTAGAATTACTTTTAGTTTTATATTACTAATTCTCTTTCTAATTTAAATATTATCTTTAATATAAAAATGAGTGTTTGTTTTACTATTTTATAATTTAATATATATCATATAAAATCATTATAAGATAATTACACTTTTATAGCATAATATAACTAAAATTATCAACATCAACAAATAATTTAACTAAATTTATTATATATAAGTATTCAAGTAACACTTTTATAAAATGATAAAATTAAGATTATTAAAATAAATAATTAAAATTAAAATTTTATTTTAAATTAAAATTAATATTATTTTTTTATAACATATCATAATATAAAATAGGGTCATGCTTCTCTCCAGTCCGAAATTGGACTGAAGCGTGTTGTTGGGCCTGTGGAGGCCCACCATGGGTCTTGTTTCAATGATCTGAACAATTCAATGTGTAGAATTTGTCAAGTATTTTATCTTTGTAAAAACTTACATTGATCTGATATTGATAGCTACTTGATCAGATCAGGTTTCTGTCAACAGTAAATATAATTTTCAAAATAAATTATTAATAAAAATATGATCTGATCAAGCAACTATTGATATCCGATCAACATGATTTTTTAAAGGATCAAGTACTCGACGGACTCTACATCTTGACGAGTACGAATTATCAAAACAGGACCCGTGGTGGGCCTCACGGGCCCAATAACACCGTTTTTGTGGACTAGAGGTAAGCCTAACCCTATAAAATATCATTACATTAATTAAAGTTAATTCTATTGTGATTTTATATCGGACATTATATTTTTAGAAGTGATTTATATGCATGTGTAGTGTCCAATTTGATATTGATTGATTAAAATAATGGAACTTAATACTTTTTTGGTAAAGTTTTTAAAAGATAAATTAACAAATGTCAAATGATAAATAGTGTGGAATATTATTTTTAAGAATAATGATTCATAAAAAAATGATTGTATATATTTAAGACACCTATTGATGTTTCTTGAATAATTTTTAAATAAAAATTTTGAATTTATAGTATATTGATAATGTACCTTAATGAGTTTTGTCATAAAAGATATGTAAAAATAATTTGGCTGAATTTTTTATTTTTTATTTTTTTTGCTGTTATTATGATGTATCATATAATTAATCAAAACCCATTTGAGAACCGAAATTATTGAGGTTATAGAGATCTTGTATTTATGATTTAAATTTGTAATTTTTTTATGCATTAATGTGAATAACTCTTACGATCTTACTGATATAAACATAAATCTTTATATTTGAGTCAACCCACCTTAAGCCCTTTTTCCGTATAATAAAATATTTAAATATTGTCATATAAAAATATTATAATAGATCATAATCAAATACCGCTTGGAACATAATTAAAAACCTGATGCACCACTTTAGATATAATAGAAAACATAAGAAATTAGCAAGCGAGGAACCAAAAACGCGTGTTTTCCATAAGTGGCTTCGCTCGAGCCAAACAACCTACACTCGAGCGTGAAATCATATCTTTCAGTTTTTTATACGGACGCAGCCTTCGCTCGACAAGAACTCCTTCGCTCGAGCGAGCAAGGGCGGACAAGTAACTTTGAATGTAATTTTGTATTTTGCTTCGGGGGCGCTGCCCCGGACCCGCCAAGGGGTGCTGCCCCCTCGACCCCCGCGAGCTAACCAGGCAGCTCGATCCCTGTCATAATCAGCGAAGTGGCAATCTTGAAAGCCTTAACATCGAAAACTTCTCTGCAAGGCACAATTCGGGTTGGATACACATCTAAAAACTCATAGCCTTACTGAAATAAAAAGTGCAAAAACAAGTACAACTGAAAGGAGTTTTGTCAAACGGGATTGCCAAGAATAAAACCTAACAATCTCCCCCTTTGGCAATGCCGTGACAAAACACACCTAACAAATAAAATCATGAACACCCCAACCTATTACAGCCAACAAAAGCAAACTTCTTTCTCGAGGTCATGATCTGCAAAACAGCTATCAGTGCCACAATCTCCAAAACAACTATTAGTCCCACAAGAGTATTTGAAAAAGCAATAGACATATGACACGATTATCTTGAAGCATGAGATGGAAAACATGAATAGGTGTAACTTGGAGATTTTAAGAACATGTGGCATGATTAGATGAAAACTAAGACTCACGAAAAAGATCATGCAAAGTATGCTTGATCTCGGCAGCAGCAATCTCAATGAGTATCTGTTTGTAAACATATCTGTACTGATCAAAATGAGAGGGAAATTGTTGCGTAGTAAGATACTGACGCTTGATTTCTCATGGATCTGCCATCCATTGTTCATCTACTGGTTCAATATAGAGGACTGTTTCCTTAGTAATACTGTTTGTTGTATGCTGTTCTTCAGGTTTATCCATAACTGTAACGCCCTCAAAATAAACCCATTATATGTATATCATTGACATGCATTATTTAAAGAAAACAATTTATTAATTCATTCATCAGAGTATTACTAAATAAAAACATTACATGTAACATCAAATTAAATGCCCTATGGGCTTACATCTTTCCAAGCCAACACTTGGGCACAAAATATGACTTCTAACTCAAACACAAACAAAGCCCTAGGCTTGATTATTTATCAAATATAAACAAATAACTAAAGATAGTCTTCAACATCCAAAAGCCAAATCCTTCCAAGCTAAGTCCCTGGAGGTAGCTTATCACCTGGACCTGAAAATGATGTTCCCATAAAGGGTGAGCCACAGCCCAGTAGAAATATACTAAACCAAATATAAGCATTGAATAAAGAAATAGCATTCAATAGATGGTTAACCAAGATAATCAATTACATCATTAACAATATGGCTCAGAACCTGGCCAAACTTACAACAGTGAACCACATATATATAATATTCACATTCTTCCAAAGTCAACAAACAAATGAGACTCAGGCTCAAATCAAAACACTTCATACTTCCAGTTTGATACACATTTTAGTGCTGTATCGTTAAAAACACTTCAATATAAATAAGCACACATAATAGTGATGCTAATGGAGTCCATCCCCTATCTCCTCCCAAACAAAATCCGGTTTAGAGGTCCATCCCCTATCTTCCCCTAAACCGTGGAGTACATCCCCTATCTCCTCCCACACAAAATAATGTATGTAAACACATAACATATACAACACACAATCAATACACATAATGTCTGTATTAATTCAACAGTCAAAATTGATGACTTAACCAATGATTAGTTTCAGTTATCCCTAATCCACATGCAGTGTCTACAACAGTCACGACTATCCTCCACCGATAGCCCAAAACAGTTATTTCTAGACTTGGAAATAAATATATCAACAATTCAATAGGTGAGTGATTTAAATTATCCAACTACACCATTTAATCAATAAATTCCCCAATTTCATGCATTTAACCAAATTCCCCAATTCCCTTAAATTAATTATACAAATTAATTAATTAATACCACTAGGGTTTTTCCCAAAATTATCAAAGTAACCCCAACATATCAATATACCAAAACTTAGAACAAGACTTATAAATTGGAGTAGGAAATCCCTACCTCGACGAAAATAACCCAAAAAGAGAAGATGGAGATGAAGACCCAAACTCCGACGTGCTCCAAACTACCAACAATTCAGATTAAAAAGAAGCCCTCGACTCACACACTCTTTTTAATGAAGGATCTAGGGTAAAAGTAAAAACACACTCTAAATAGATCAAACCTAAGAGAGAAGGTGAGTAGAGGGAGAGAAAAGTCGGACCTAGGGTTTTGGAATCAAAAGAGAATGAAAAACTGATCAAAAACCCGCTGCTGCCTATTAAAACTGGACAGGCTCGCTCGAGCGAAGACTTGGTCGCTCGAGCGACCAGACACACGAAACCCTCGCTCTAGCGAAGAAAAGCTCGCTCGAGCCAAGAATGCAATGCTTCAGGTCTGCAACCCAGGAGCACGCTCGAGCGACAGAATGCTCGCTCGAGCGAGGAACTCGAAAACATACACCTCACTCGCTCAAGCGAAGGAAATCTCGCTCGAGCGAATAAGCACTGCCCTCAGGTCTATACCAGGCGCAATCGCTCGCTCGAGCGAAGCAAATCTGGATCGAGCCAGAAGACACAAAATACAAACCTCGCTCGAGCGACCAACCCAAAAACTGGACAGCAACACTTGGTTTACGAACCCAACCAAACTGAAACAAACCTGCCCAACACATCCTATAACTCCAAATGAGAAAATAAAGGATGACAACAACAATTATTCAATGACAGAATAAACGGAACCTAAGTCCGGATACAATAATCAAATGGGAAAAGACCGGGGTCGCTATAGCCTTCCTCCAATGTTACATCACAGTGAAATGGTGAAATCTCACGCGGATTTTCAGTTTGATGAAACATTTGCTCCGTTGTCAGTTTGATATCAGTTTGGTAAAACTATTGGAGAAAGAGAAAAAGTGACTTTGATGCTTAATTTGATGCAACGTTAGAGATGGTCTATTACATTTTAAAGGTTTGCTTTAAAAAAAAAAAAAGAAGTCACATTGATACTAACCATTTTCTTCCCCCAAAATGAGACTAAATAAACCCCTTAGTCCAAACATATTGAGAAAATACCTGATAAAAAGTCACAGTCAATCATCAGTGACATTCAGCCAATACAATTGATATTTTATATTAGATGCAAAATATTTAGCAGTTGAATAGCTGGAAGAAGAAAGCTGCTTATTGACAAGGCTGGACAAGTACCATGAGCGACTACTGACATAGCTAACATCGATGGTGCTATAGTCAATACCATTTTGCAACATTGACCTAAACCTCTGAGTCAGTGGAAAAGGTATCTTGGCTGGAGAGAAAAAAAGTGAGTCATCCATATTGTTAAAATTTATGTTTCTTCCTAACATGTCTGAGATCAAAGTTCAATGGCAGAAATAAAAAACTGACCTGCTACAAATCCGGAAAAGAAAAAGTTAACCCAGGCAAAAGTAAGAGTCTGACAAACAAAAGCAATAAAAAATAAATAAAACGGTCAGATCCCAATGCCAAAAATTGAATCAGAAAACAACAAAAATTGAAAAAAGGGTGATAAACTACACAAAAAATGCAATACCTGGGGTATGATCATTGAAAGATTTTTCTTCATCATATCCATGGCCATGTTTGGATCAGAAAACATTTGTGCCTGTGCATTCTGAGCCTGGCCCTTGGGGACAAAAAGTAACCCATTTTCCTGCAATGTAACATCAATACATATTTCGATGATATTAGAATAACAGCAGTAAGCTACAAATGTTTTGTACTACAAGCTATGAAGCACAGACACCACTTTGGAGATCATGTACCGGTGTGTGACATGTGTGGGTCACGCTAGAGGAATCGAGAACATGTTGGGACACACCAGGGACACATTATATCCTTTATTTTATTTTATTTTATTTCAACGGAGTAGCATATTCCAAGTTGATAAATTTGATGAGAATAATTATTTGACCTAGAATAAAGCCAGCTGTGCCAAGCACAACAGTGACATCATAACCACCTTTATGCTGAAGGATATGAAACTACCCTTAACCAACAGGGCCCTCATCCACATATCTATTCAAAACTACATCCATTAATTTGCAACAAAGCAAAGATACTGAAGCCTAGTAGAGCACATTGCACCACCAGAATCTGACACAAGACAAGCATCGTATGCTTCTCTTGATCCACAAGAGGCAGCTCGCATGCCTTTGAGATTCTTGATCAAAATTGCACAACAGGATATACGCATTAGCAAGCATTAAATGATACCTATAGTAGGAAGCAAAATTGAGTGAGCTCTATAAAGCTCACGCTTGTCCACGCTTATCGATGGTGGGTCTCAGCAGACATGACTAACTCATAGAATGACTTAAGGGTCTCAGTTTGGCAGCACACCACAAATCAGCCATACATAGCGGGCACCTATATCATGCAACCCTCATCGCATATATCAACAGATTGTTTAAAGTAGAACCCAAATGACCTACAAGTTCCTGTCCAAGCCAAATTGACCATATAAGCCTCCCTCTATTTCTCTTCCCAGAATGTATAACATGCCCACAGGCTAGGCAACTTCCACCACACCCACTCATGTGGCTCACCCTACAAATCCATGACCTTTGGAAACATCCCCTATTAAAGGATGTTCAAAGAAACTAAAATTTACACAGATACAACAGCACATAACTGCAAGGTTTTTTTAAGATAGACTAAATGTAAAGTAAAGAAAGAAGTTTGGAAGGAAAAGTGAAAAATTAGAATGTTTGACACTTAGAATATAAGTTACTGCTTAAGCCTTTGAAATCAATTTTAAATAATAATAATAAAAAAAACCTTGGAGAAAAACAAACCTTGGAAGGATCGAAGCCAAATCCACTCATTTGCATCATACGCTGTGTATCATCCGTGGCTACATCAGAACATCATGTCAGTTTCTTTATAATATCCACAGAAATAGCAACTATCAATCACACACCCTTCTTCTGAGAAGATGATTGACATGCAAACATGAATTGTTCGCAATATATATTTGAAAAAAACAAAACAAAAAAGTCACAAGGATACTAACCATTTTCTTCCCCCAAAATGAGACTAAATAAACCCCTTAGTCCAAACATATTGAGAAAATACCTGATAAAAAGTCACAGTCAATCATCAGTGACATTCAGCCAATACAATTGATATTTTATATTATTTAGCAGTTGAATAGCTGGAAGAAGAAAGCTGCTTATTGACAAGGCTGGACAAGTACCATGAGCGACTACTGACATAGCTGTCTTCTGGAATCTGGGATTTGCTCACTTTAGGCTGAGTTCTTCTATACTTGAATGTTATCTCCTTGGAAGCGCTCAAGCCCCCTGTTATTGCATCCTTTCTGGAAGGGTCTTCGTTCCTCCGCAGGTATTTATCCTTCCATATCTGTAGGTCATCTTCATTGTAGTATCCGCTTCGATCTGTTGTCTTTGGTGCGTCACCTTTCTGGCTGGCGTCTTTCACTCCGTGACTCTGGTCACGAGTTTCTGTGTTGCGGTCGTCTCCTTCAACGTCGAGGTTGATAGGTCTCCCACTCCCAGCAGGAGCGTTGTCTTCAATCTGATTATTCTGTCCGTCATTGGCCATCTATTCTTTTTTCTTTCATTGGCCATCTATTCTTCTTTCTTTTCCACAGACGGCACCAAATTATGTGGGTGATTTTTTGACCACACTGCCCGCTTAGTAACCAGCTGGAAAGCACCGGCAGAATAAATGGCACCTGGCTGACCTGCAACAGAAAGAGAAGATTGCGGCGGTGATTCGGTCACCCGGGAGCACTCCGACGATCAAGTCAGTATATCTCTCAAAGATAATCAAGTGCTAAACTCATAAGCTTGAGTATTAAAAGCATACCTTAGACCCATGGGGGTGTCTTTCTTTTATAGCCAACATAAACCTAGTCCCAATAGAAGCCTAACTTTTATGGACTCAGGATTACTGCTAATCTTGGACTCCTAGTAAGATTAGAATAAACTCAGTCTTATTTTAATACAAACTGAAATCTTCTCTCATTCTAGGACTCTTGCTTCTCATCCGTTTATCTCGGATTTCGATATCTTCGGAAGCAACCTCGGCCTATCCGAGATGACCTTGGCATAACAACCAGGACACGTGGCACCTCGGCTGACACGTCGGCGTCACCTTGGCCACGTATTGGTACTCAGAAAATATATCCCCACATATATATATATATATATATTCATATTCATATATATATTCATATTCATCATATCTATTATTTGGTAAATTTTATGAATTTCATAATAATATAGAGATGTAAATCGAAAATTGAATTTAACATTTTTTCAATAATTAAAAAAAAGTGTGAGACGTTAGTTGCCAGAGCATTACAATGGGTGGGTGGGGGTTATTTGATCATAAATTTGTCTCATTCGACAACATTGTCAATTTTTTATTTTTATTTCTTACCCACACAAATTATTAGTGTATACAAATCTCTTGAGAATAAAAACAACTAAAAATATTTTGTGTGTTGTTAAGATTGTAGCCTGCAACGTAGAGTGGTTGGTGAGGGATAATCAGAAGTAGTCATAAGAGTGTCGTGCTAAGATAACGAGATGGCTAAAGGAGTTTCCCGATGTCACGTACAATAACCATTTGAATAAGTATACTCTGTTTAATTTTGGAGTTTTTAAAAATAATTTTCACGTTTTTAATTTGTATTTTTTAATTTTTAGTGATTTTTAAAAATATTTTAATTATTAATTTTAGATTTATTTAATTTAAATATACTTAAAAAGTTTAAAATTTATGAAAAATATTAATTTTTTTTACTAAATATAAAAAATACAAAAAATGCAAAATTTATATATATATATTTTTATATTTATTGATTTTTTAAATTTTTTTTAAGAATATTTTATTTTTTAAGTATATTTATTTATACTATTATATTATATTAAGTGAATATTGAATTTGTTATCAAGTTTTTGCTTACAATTACTGTATTAATCAAAAACGATTCTATTTGAAAATAAATAAATAAATAAATAAATAAACAAATAGGAAGAGTGTAACTTGAACCTTAGGTTTATTGAAATAGAATCTTACCACATAAGTAATACACAATATAAAATAAACATTTAATTTAATTTTTATTTATTTGAATTATACATGTATTTTGTATGCCAACTGTGGCTTTAGATAAAGGCTTGGTTTAGGTAGTAGGTTGACTTTTTGATTTTTTAGTTTTTTGACTATTTTAGCCTCAGACTAAAAAGGCTGGTTTGGAAAGGAATTTTGACTTTTTTAATTTTTTTTGACTTTTTTGTGAGAGGCGGAGTGCCGTTTTGGGAAGGGCCATAAAAAGCCACGTTTTTTTTTATCATTTTCCAAAAACGCAACAAATTTGGTTTGGGAAGGGCCAAAAATGTAAGTGTGAAATTAAGTTATGACAAAAAAATAAAAAAAATAAAATTCTTATGTTAGGTAAGGGTATTTTGATCATTTTAATTTGATTTGACATCATAAATAAATATTAAACTAAAAAGCAAAAAGTTAACTTTTTACCAACTTTCGTCTTATTAGACTAAAAAACTTATTTTATTTTTTATGACTATTTTAACTTCAAACCCACTTCCCAAACAATACCAAAGTATATTAAATTTCGAAATTTTTTTAACTAAAATAAGGAAAAAAAATTAACTAAAAACAACAAAACTAAAAAAAAAAAAAACAAAAAAAAGAAGAAGAAAATTAAAATAAAGTCATCATTTTATTTTTTTTAACCAATTATATTTTCTGGGTTAAGAAGACATTCTTCTCCAACTTTTTCTGGGTTGATCTATTATCACTCTCCTTCTTATTACATGCGATTTGGATGTTAAAAAATGGTGAGTTTCCATCCAGATCCCCTTCTTGCATTGCTCGATTAGCTCAGATATAGCTAAGTTTTTCGCTTTCCATACCCATTTTTTTGCTAAATATGGTTTATAATCTGTATGATTTCTCAGTGTTCGTTTCGTTATAGATTTTTCCATGCTGCTGCAGTGTGTATGATTAAACTAGCTCTCTCCATATAGAGATTTTACAGTCTTATAGATAATGCCAAGCCTAGATTCACACCCATATGTTGCTTTGGATCACTGGGTCACACACACACACACACACACACACACACACACACATATGTATATACACTAATTTTCAGCATTATCAATTACTACTGTGGTTATTCATGTTCTCTCTGTTATTATAATCACATTGTTGGCGATAATAGTCACACATTTGATTCGAAACACCAAGCAATTGATTTGTATGTAGAGGGTCAATTGACTTGAAGAATCGATGAATCATCTATACCCATATAGGAGAATTGAGTATATGGCATGATATGCTAATACTTACCAAAGAGAAGTGTTGAAAAATTGCTGAGGTTACCCAACCAAACCAAACCAAACGAAGCATTAAGTCCCATCAAATGGGGTCGGCTACATGAATCCTTCCTTCTCTCACGCGGCCCTATCAAAGGCCATTTTCATTGGTCAAATTAAGTAGATTTCATATCTCTATTTATAACGCTAGTCAACGTTAATCTAGGTCCCTACCTGCGTCCCCTAACACTTCCATCTAGGCCGTTACAGCATCGCATCTCTTCATTAACTGCCTCTGTTGGTCTCCGTTGAATAATGACGCAAACCATCTCAAACGATTCTCTCTCAACTTAATCTTCTATCGTGGGCTACTCCTAATAGCACTCATTCCTAATTCCTGTCCTGTCTAGTCTTTACACATCATCCACCTTAGCACCTCATCTCAGCAACACTCATCTTATCTACATGTTGTTTCTTAGTTGCCAACACTCGCGTCCCATACAACATGCTGGTCCCCTAATAGGCCGTTTCTATAAAACTTACCTTGAAGTCTAGTAGGTATGTCCGTTTATACGGCACAATACCCCAGACGCACTTATCCACTTACACCATCCGCGCCTTAATCCTATGGGCCACATCTGCATCAATCTCTCCTGCTGTTGTGATATTGACGGCCTAAATACGAAAATGTTCACTCTTAGGCAGTTGCTTGGTCTCAATCTTCATTTCTCCTTCTGCTTTCAATTGTTACTTGTTACTAAAATTTACAGCTCCATGTTACTCTGTCTTAGTTTCTGCTTATCCGAAATCCTTTAGATTCAAGAGCTATTTTCTCCAGGATCTCCACTTTGTGTTAACTCCTTCTCTAGTCTTGCATCCAACTAACACAATATCGTCTGCAAAAAGCATACACCATGCACGTCATCCTGAATATTTATCGTCAACTCGTCCATAACTAAAGCAAAAAGATAAGGACTTAAGGTAGATCCTTGGTGTAACCCTACAGTGAATAGGAATTCATTTGTTTCTCCAGCTGGCGATCTAATAGTTTGGTCACCACCTCCTTCATACATGTCCCTAATCACGTCAATGTAGCCTTTTGTCACCCCTTTCTTCTCTAAACGCCCACCAAATATTATAGTCTCAGGGCACTCTGTCATAATGCTTTCTCAGGTCGATAAACACCATACGAATGTCTCTTTCTTTTCTTTATACTTTTCTATTACTCTCGCTCAAAGATAGATCGCTTCCATTGTTGCGCTACCAGGCATAAACGCAAATTGATTCTCCTAACACCTCTGTTATGTCCTCACCATACCGACGGTTCCTCACCTCTCCCACACTTTCATTATATAGGAACACATTAGCTTAATTCCTCTAATAGTTGTTACAATTCTCGGACATCACCTTTATTTCTTATGATTGGGCACTAAAATACTCTTCCTCACTCATCTGGCATGTTCCTAGTCACAAAATTTTTACTAAAGCAACCTAGTCAACCAAGCAACTCCCTTTTTAGCCCAACACTTTCCAAGCTTCAATAGGGATATCATCGGTCTAAAGCCTTATTTGATTTCATCTTCTTAAGTGCAATCTCCACTTCAAAAATTTTCTAATCCTGCGATAGAATCTATAGTTTGGTTTATCGTATTACTGATTATTTCTTCCCCTATTGTCGGTATTCCATGTTCCTCATTTAATAGTTTCTCAAATAATTCTTACATCTTTCCTTAATCTCAATCGTCCTTCACTAATACCTTAGAATCCTGCACTCCTTGGATGCACTTTACTTGATTAAAATCTCTGTTTTTCCTCTCCCGCATCTTAGCAAAGTTTGTATACCTCTCTCTCCATCGCTTACTATCTAGTCTAGTGTAATAGGTTATCATAAACTTTCAACTTAACTCTCTCAC